GGCAACCACCGCTGGAAACAGCAGCTGAGCAGGAGCTTCAGCGAAATGCAACACCAACAGCTTTACAATGGAGTCAACTTTACAGAACTACAGAACATGCAAGCTTCAAACCGCTCAGCAACACAGCTGCAGAACCCGACGAGCAACAACATGATCCTGATGAAGCAACCATCTCTACACCGCAGATAGCTTCCGTGGTTACTTCACTGATTGCAGAGAGTCGGGAAGCTTTTGACCACAGCCATGTGAACTCTACAAGTCCCTCAATCATATTTGAGGGGAAAATCCAATCGACAACAAAAAACCAAAAACAAACAAACAAACAAACAAAAAAAGAGAATCAAAGCATTGTGAATTGCATTGTTAACTGATCTGTAAAAGATTTATAGATTTTGCATAGTAGAATTGAGTAGACTGGGTCTGGATCTGGCTGTTCTTGAGTTTTGTCACTTTGGTATTCTTTTAAACTTCCCTGTCGACAAGTTAGACTGTTAGTTTTAAGCAGACTAATGATGTTTTATGTGCTGTGTGTGTTAGTTCACTGAACTAGTTGTATTAGTCAACCGTCAGGTCACTGCAAAGAAAGCAATCCTTAAACATCAAGAATATAGGCCAGAAAATCATTCTAAATCAGTGTCCATAAAAGGTTCTGTTGAAGAAGACCTCTTGTGCTGTGTTTGTTCTCTTTCCTGCAAGGGCCCAGCAGGAGATTACAAACACTGCTTTTTTATTTTAAAACAAAAAGGGGGAATTATGGATTCTAACTGTGAAACAGGGAGCAAGGTGCCTGTGGAAATTGCAGGCCACATAACTGTCTCAGTCTTGCCTGAGAAAGTGTCCTGGGAAATCTTAAAGAGGAATTAAAACAATCCTCAGAGATTGAAAACAGCCTTGCAGGTGCTGTTTGTCTGTTCCTTGTTTTCTTGCAAGAGAAAGTCGAGGGGTGGTGAACCCCACTGACCAGTGCTGGTGATGTGTTAGTTTTCTAGCCAGTAACAGTTTCTTTTCTGTACTTCTCACGTATCGGTCTATAAAAAAGACCTGAGGTGATAAACTGAGAGAAATTCTCCTGATTGACTCCCAAGAGAGTCTGTGTCGTTCTTCTCATCGTTCCTAATAGAGTGACAGTTATGAGTATGCTTTTGATGTCTTGTTTCCATAAGAGGGAAGATGAAAAGATGCTACTAAAGGAAACATCAGAAGTGGCAAAAAAAATTACAAAGTCACATAAAATAAAGGGGAAGGTGGACTGTCTGATTTTGCACTCTCAAGGTCAAGCTGAGAAGACAGAGACGTGTACTCACTCACTCACTCACTGTTATGTTTCAGAGATCAGAAACATAACAAGGGAAGACTCTCAGCCCAGCTAACTATATACACTCAACTGAAGTGCCTAAGTAATACTGCTTTTTCCTGACTGGGGAGACACATCTTCAAAAAGGTTGAAGATCTTCACTGTTCTCTATATATGAGGTGTTTATCATGAAAGATACAAAGGATGCCTTCACACTCACTAATCTACTCCAGCCAGTGAAACAACAGTGAAACTATGCTATGAAATCTGGGGAAGAGACAGGATGGCAAAGGCAAAGATCCGGATATGAAAAAAGAAGAAACTCTGCTGATCGGTTGACTGCTCATGCCTCCAGAAATAGAGGTGCATAGGCACTGAAAGGTGCGAAAACATGAAAAGAAGGCTACAATCACACAGAATTATCAGAATTAGAGATGCAGACATTGTATTTTCACTATCTGGATTGTAATACCGCTAACTGAAAGTTTGTCTTTACGAAAAAAATTTTAAGGAGAGAGCTAGTGTGAGTCAGGCCCATCTTGATAATGCAGCTATGAAGCAAGGATCTGTGGTTCTATCCAAAGGAAAGGCCATAAATCCAAAATGATTGTCAAGGGACAAGAATTTATCCAAGGCACATAACTTCTGCCTTATAAACCTGGCAGACAGAAATTCCAGAGCATTTCTGCAGAGCTTGCTCCCATGTCAAGTGCGACTGCACTTAAGAGAACTAAATGTAGAGCTAGTACAAAACAGTGTAGCTTTTCTGCTTGTAAATGGGCTGTATCATCTTACACAGCTGACTGTGTGTCTAGCAATTACATTTACAACTGAATGTAAATGTTCTACCTATAAGTTACAACAACTTTCCCCTCAGCTTCTGATCCTCTTTTCTTTATGGTGGTTTGAGCCCATCCTCTGAATTAAACATCCTCATTAATAGGTATTAAATTAACTCATGAGCAGAGTTCAAACAGAAAAGAGGTTTATGCAAACCAAGAAAAGGATGCAGAAAACAGTATAAATACCTTCAATTGTCAGTGAATATGTAGGAAGCAGGAATAGTTCAAAATAGATGTTCTTACTGGCTGCTGACCTGTTGGAGTCTGAGACAGAGTGTGTGCCCTTGTTTCTGACACCTAGCTCTGTGATCCAGAAGAACACTGAATTTCATAAAACATGAAATTTATGAGCATGTTTTCATGGTGATACATGAAAACAACTGTTAAAGTTAGATAGAAAAGCTTAAAGTGTGAGTGTGTAGATTAGAGCTTTCTTAAGTCACTGGGTGAAAAAGTTAGAGTTTAAAATAGTTTAGAAAGTAGTAGGCAAGATGGGGGGTTTAGAGTGTTGTTTCTTTTCCTTCTTTCTTCTTCATGTGCTTCTAGAGGTTTTTGGGTAATAGTGATTGGATAGAAAATGTCACAGTGCAGTACACAAGTGATGGGTCATTGGGTCATTAAGAAAAATAATAGACATGTCTACTGTTAATTGGATAAGAATAAGTATAAAGATAAAAAAACTGCGTAGTTCAGGACCATTTTGTGCCTCAAAGCTCAAAGTGAGCCACAAAGCCATTTTGTACCATCAGAAAGAAATGAGCCAGGTTGCAGCAAATTGAACTTGTGCAGAAAGTCTGGAGAGACCTGCCAAATTTTGTGATAGCATCCCAATAAACATGAGAAACAAGATCCTTAACAGGCTTTGGAGTTTTTGTCCTGACCCGGAGAACTGTGATAAGCGGGACTCCCCATGAGGGAGCATCCCCAAGGAGCTCAGCTCAGGGAAGCTGAGAAATCCAGGAGTGAAACGAAGTGCAGAAGAAGCACAGCAGCAGAATCAGAAAGAGAAAAAAGAAACAAAGAATTTAAAAAGTTAAACTGACCTGTTAAAAATACTTCTTTTATGTTATGAAAAACACTCAGAAGGAATCAAATTGTATTTCATTGCCATGTTGAATTCTCACAATGCATTCCTTAGGTTATGTGCAGAAGTGCTTCATTTTTGTGCTGGTTTTCACATTGATTGGCATTTGGGGAAGTGATTTCTTTGAGAGAAGGTGCTGGGAGCTTCCTCTGTGCCTGGGAAAGGCCAATAGCTGGCTAGTTCTGAGAACCGACAACATTTTTCACCATTTAGAAATTAGATCCGTCTCTGTGAGATGCACATTTTAAAAACAGCAAGCCTGGGAAATCTCTCTCTTTTCTTCTGGCCTCAAAAGGTAGCAGAACTCTGGTGGGGCCAGCCCCACTCTCCCACAGCCTGTGTGGCCTGGGGGTGGGGCTGGGCCACACCCCAGTGGCTCCTGGGTCGGGGGCAGGAGGCTGGAAGGTCTTGGCCCTAGGCTGGGCCGGGCCACCGCTGTTGACATTTCACTGACACTAAGTCCCTGGGCCCCAGGTTGAGTCCCTCTCCCAGCAGCTTCTGGGCAGAGGGAGGGGTCCAGCTCCCTGACTGCTGCGGCCACTTCTTAGGGACATCTGCAGGCCTGGGTGAGATACTAATACTAATCCTTTCAGTGCACAGATACCTGCAGACCATGATTCTCCCCTCGGGTGAGAGAAAAAGAGTGACGACACACAGAAAGGCAGCATGAAGACACCACTAAGGTCAGTAAAGAAGGAGTCAAGCCTCAGATGGAAAGAGAAAGAGGAGATGCCCTAATGGGGCCGAAAGCTCTTTTGGTAGTACCATGGAGATGGACAGTGACACACTGAAATATTACCTTTAATTCATGAGAGAGTATGGGGAGATGAAGTATTCAAACTATAGATGTGAGCAGAGGCATTTATTGATAAAGCCAAGCAGATGTTGGAGTAGCTGTGATCCTGAGAAGCTTGAACAGAGAGAGAGTGATGAAGACTCTTCGCCTCCAGGGAGAGAAGAGGAAAACCTCTGTTCCCAGAGATGATCACAGAGACAGATGAAGAGAACCTTTGCCTTTGAACAACTCCTCCTTAAAATAATACCCTATGAGTTCATGGCCCATGGACACACCTCTAGGAGGGCTGTGAAAATGGGAGGAATGTCATGGTGGCTGAACTATTTGCCCAGGCAGCTGCTATTTGTGGAAACGAAAAGCCATGAGAAAACTGTTTCTTGTGGAGAAGTCTGCATGGCATGACAAGAGACAACTCTCCTTCCCACAAGAACTGATGAAAGACTATTGTATAGTTAGTACTGCTTTAACATCCCAAGTTCTGTTTCTACATGGTCAGTTGGGAAAGAAAAAAGTTGGGTAGGGGGAGGAAAAGTGTTCTGGAAGTTTTATTCTGATGCTTCTTATTCTTGTAGTCCTGTTAATAAAGTTTCTTTATATCTTTGAAGTTTTAACCCTGTTTTGCCCTTCTCCTAATCCATATCTCACAGCAAGAAATGAGTAAGTATCCTGGTGATTTTAGCCAGTGCTAAACCCACCACATTATTTAGTGTATTGGCCAGGAAACTCAAATTGGCAAATCTAAACCACTACAATTTTAAATATAGATATGTCTCTTTCAATTACCAATGCAGACTAGAAAGCATTTTAGCAATGTCACATGTCAATTTAGCATGCTAAGTTACCCTGATTGGTTCTTTTTTAACCTCAGTGGCAGCAGGAAGAAGATATTCTTAGCAGATATAAGTGATTGCACCTTAGCTAAAGCATCTAGCCAGCTCTTAGATTGAATAAAGATGCAGAAGATTTGATGTTGCTACATAATACCTGTTTTTAATGTGCTGGGGAGAGCCAAGACACTTGAAAACTCCATTGACCATAATAGCAAGCCTTGTGCAGAGAGCTTCACATTCTTCCATACTACAAAATAAAAAGGGGGAAAAATAAATAATTAGTAGTGAAAACAGAGAACATTGTTTATGCCTAACTTTACTTAAAGTGAAAGAATCTGGACAGCTGCAAAACCAGAAATAAAACCTCTGGCTTGGTAACAGTCAAAGTTGTAACACTAATCAGTATACACCAACAGTTATTACCACATGAGAACTACAAGAGAGCCTTAAACCATTATTTGTATTTTTAGTCTATAACTAATTGGACACTTCTGGGCAGAATATAAAGGCATCATTACCACAGGCAAACTCATAAGTAGTCTCAGGACTGCTGCTGAGGGAGTCATGAACTGTTATTCCCTTCAATATCTATTTGTGATTATTCTGAGGTAAAGGATAAAGGGAGAAGAATGAAAAGCTTGCTCTGCCTTTCTTTTGCATAGTACATGGCCTTGAAAAAAGTTACCCTCTGCAGGGTAACCCTATTGCAGGATAGAAGATCCAAAATACTACAATCCAAACAGAATTTAGGAAACTGAAATGCATCTGAATAGAAAAGCAGGGTTCTCCTAGATGTAACTGCTTCAGATGATAAAATAACAGCTTTGACTTGTAAAACTTACGGCAGATGGGCTGCTACTCTACATATTGTGCAGAATTGTGTGAGCTTCTTTCAAAGAAGCACTTTAGACATAAAGAACCATATGGAACACATCCATCATCTCAAAGATGTTTGGTGTTCTACAATTCACTGTGTGCCCTCCCCAACGCTTCTGGGACAGCTAAACAGAGACATCTTGTATGCCTCAACCATGGACCAGTCCAAATCAAAGTGCTTTGACTGAATGGACATTGGCAATTAAGTAATGCCTTAGGAACAATTTCTTTATAATACGACAGGGCTGTGGTGAGAACTGCCAAACTGGTATGTCAGAGAAAGACAGATCTTCCCACAAATAAGGAAATTCACCAAATAACTCCAAATGCTGCCCTTGGCAAAACATTCCCTGGCTGTGGCAAAATTACACAAATTTAGGGCTCTAGGGACAGCTGATAAAGCATCACTCCTCCCCATTTAAAACAGAGGTTTTGTCTCTGAAATGTAAGTAAATATTTACCTCTGAAAAGTAGGTGAACAGTTCACAAAACCTGATTTTTACAGAGCAAAACCCTCTCTATACCTTACACATGTACTAGCTGACATGTGAGAAAGTTCACTTCATATATAAAATTCCTGTACATATACAAGTATATAATCTCAAAGCCCCAGTCGCCTTCAGAAAATAGTATAAATAGTTTAAAATAATTTCTCCTTTCTTCACCCTGGCACAACAATGTGAAAAGTATCACTGTACTTATTGTCTTCTTTAAGTCATTCATTTGTAGAGCTAAATGTATAGTTAGTACAATTTGATGGATTTTTTGTTTGTTTGTTTGCATCATATTAGTAATGAGATCACAGGTCTCTTCTGTTTAGCTGGTGTTTTACAACCTGAGGTTCTTAATCTGAATGGAAAAGTCAAAACATACTTTTTCCTGAAAATCACTGAACTGAATTCACAACGCATAACCCACATTCCCTAAATAAGTGTGCTGGTAAGTACTTGGCCATCAAACACAGGTACATGATTTTCAAAATTCAGCTTCCATAAATAAAACTGTGGGAAATTTCTGGAAAATTTTTCTATTAATAATAGACTGGGACAACAAATACATTTTAATAATATCTAAAATATCTAAAAAAATCTGAAAATAGAAAACATTGGAGGCCATATTCCTTCATTAATTCATCTATACTTCAAATCTCATTTGGCCAAATTTTTCATTGTTGTTTTGATTTTTGAATTCTGTCTTCTCTGGACATGTTTTCATGATCTCTCCCTCATTTAAAGAAATTTTATATATAATTATATATAGTATATATATATTGTCTAAGGGAACATTTGATTTATTTCATTTCACTATAGATGTTACATAACAGTGTTGATGTTTCCTCCATTAAACCAATATACCACTATCAATAGACCATATCAGTGAACTGACAAGATATTTAATGTAGACGGACTCTTCTAAGAGGATGGAGTCTCTCCTACCATCTCCAGTAATGCATAAGAGAATAGCTGACGCATCCATCTTCAGGATGCCATGGCTTACTCTTCATACACTGATGCAAAGCAGAAACTTAATAAAATCAGAAGGTTGTTCACTCACATCTCCCTTTGTAAAGATTTTTATGGTAGCCAGATACAAAAAAGTAACCTGATGTTCCAAGCAAGAAGAGACACTACAACACTGAGTAGAAAGAGCAAGAAAAAAGAAAAATCAATTACATCATCTTTGCTGTGCCTGCAGCCCCTTGAGCAACACTCTATTCTTTAAAAATTAAATATGAAAAGTATTTCAGATGTAAATAGGTTCCTTACCATGGACAGGAAGGAATTGGCATAAAATTTCAATACTTAATCTGTGTTTCACAACAGAGTGAACATATACTCCTCTGCAGCACAGGAATAGGCTGGCTGCTGGAATAAGGATCTTACCTGTGGGATGTCAGCACAGCTGCACAACCATCCTGCACTTCCTTCAGGACAGCTTTCCAAAAGTAACGTTTAGAACAGGGATCCATCCCAGAGCTGGGCTCATCCTACAGGAAATATGAATATGGCACAGCAGCATGGAAAAAGCATACCACAGGTTCTGCCCAGCATGAAGGATTAACACAATTCACAAAAGAATCATATGTTTTTCTATTTAAATGTCACAATTTCAGAGGGTCACTTAAGTGACACCCTGATCAATGTTTTGCTTTAACACATACAGTTTAATGTCTAAATCTATGGAAGGCACATTTTAGTAAAGTATGTATCCATGAATAATATTTAAATATATCTATATGTATCTATAAATGCTTATCGCATATATATATAATTTTTTATATATGTATAGTTATAAGGATTTATTATATCTGTTTAATTATATACATACACTCGTTTTGATAAGAGACACTTGCAAGTGGTTCTGCTCACTTTCTGGAAGGGTTTGGTGACTGTTTCTGATCTGCATACACATCTGCCATGTGCACAAACAACTGGAGAAGTCCTATTGCTCCCAGATGTCTACACTGCCCATCCCATATCCAGGTGTTTGATAAGAATTTTGGATTTGACATCTTATACCAGTTACTCCCACAGCCCTTTTTAAGAGGCATTTTCACTTACACTGGATAGAACTCACAGGATTAAATAACACTAACTCAGTGCAAACCAACTGGCAAACCCATTTCCCACTTGGATGACTCTCATGGAGAAAGATTTGCTGCTACAAAATCTGTATTTCTCCTTCTTATCTATTTCTCCTTTCCTCACTAAATCAAATTTTTACTTCATCCACTCATGAAAACAAAAGGAATTATATTTGATTGACAAATCCAGTCTCTGTTACTACAAGACTGGAAGAAAGAAACTCTTCCAGTTGCTTTTTATCCAGTGGAACTCCATGGGGAGCGTCAGCACCTTTTGGACAGGTATGGCTTTGGCTAGAGTATTTTCAGCAAGGAATCCCATCTAAAACCTGGAAACAGAGTTTTCAAGAAACAAAGCAAACAAAACATCCAGTTTGAAGCTAATTTTAGCACTTCACTACCAATGTCAGAGGTTGTAAAATTCAGTTCAGTCTCCTATTATCTGTGGATTGCTAACAAAGAAAACGTAAAAAGCAATAAAAATAAAGCAACCCATAATATTGCTGAAATTAATAGCTATGATCCTGGATACAATTTAGAAGCAGATTCAGTAGCTTATATTGATGTCTTTGCTTTCAGGAAAAATAATAATAAAAACTCCATCGTTTTAAAATACTGGAAAACTCCTTTAAAACCTGCTAGCTTTCTAAAGACAACAAATGTTTTAAAGAATTTGACATGTTTAGCTATCTTTCTTTCCTCTTTTCATTCTATATGCAACAGTTTGTGCCCTGCAGCAAGAAGTAGGCTGAAATGGATACTTACAGTGGTACACTGTCAAAAAGACCTTCTAAGCCATTTGTGGCATTTCTTAAGGTCAAGAAAAAAACATTGATTTAAGATAATCTCCTCCTTTTACTAGCTGAACCAGAGTCAGTTAAAGTATAAAATGCAAATAAATTATCTTTGCTTAGAAGTGAGGTAATGGTAGGCAGTTAGAAGCAGCAAAATGTGTCTAATCTTCTGAAACATAAACCCCAGAGAATCAATTCTATCTGGTTCAACTTAGCCTGTGATCTCGTCCTGGAAGCCGTGGTTTCCCTCTTAACTCTGAGGAGCAGCTTTCCTACCGCTGACTGTTTTGAAAGGTTTATTGCACTACTGAACTGGTTTAGCTCTTCCCAGCCAAGTTTTAAGAAAGCAATGTTCAATATTCTCTAGTGAAATGATAAGCAATTATATGAAAGAGAATGTAGTGTTGTAATGATGCAGTTCTCAAAGCTTTGTAGCTCCCTGATCTTCAATACAAAATGCATTGTTTGCATTGGAGTGGCCAGTATCAGGCCTAAATGGGCAGTAGTATGCAAAACAGCCTGGGATAAGTAATTCAAATTAATATCATTCCTAAGTATTATTTGATAGTGTGACTTGTGAATGCAACAAAATGAAAGAACTAGCCAGATTTATGAAATAAATACAACTGAGCAAGAATTAGGAGTATCCTGAAAGAACATGGGTCAATTAAACACATATTTGGATTGTGGAATACGACAATTGTATTTGTGTTGAGAGCTTTTTATTTCTGCTCACCCAATTGCTCCAAGGAAGAAAAAAAATAGGGAAAAAAACCAATTTCACTTTCTATTTTTGTGAGCACTGGAGAATAAAATTGAAATAATTCATACAGCAGAACAAAGAAGACAGTTGCACATCGATGTATCAATTACTGATCAGGAAACTACCTGAATTTCTTTAGAGCAACATACAAGACAACAAAATTCAATGCAGCTCATTTTTAATAAGCACATTATTACTTCTACTCACCAGTAAAAGTATTTGGGGTTTACCAACTAAAGCCACAGCAGTAGAGAGCTTCCTTTTTGTGCCAGCACTGTAAGTTCTCACTAGTTTGTCAGCATGGGCATTGAGGTGTAACCGGTTAACAAGGTCCTCTGCAACCTGTGGTTTGTAAATTTGAAGGCCAACAAAGATGAGTCAGGTAGCATTTGTGAATCAATTCAAAGATCATTCTGCTCATGCATGTTAAGAAAATGTACGTGTTGCTTCCTTATTTACCCACACTTGCTACATATTATTACTTTTGAATCTCAAACACAGAGAAAAAGCTTCTATGAGGCCCCTTCCATTTTCTCGTTCAGAAATCTGGCTTTGTCACTGCTCAGCACAATCATTTGTATCTGGTTTGCGTCCATGGGTCAATGATCTAAAACATTTCTCATTTCAACTTATTTTCCACTATTTATTTGATCAAATACCTGAGTAACTGAAAATTCAAGCAAAAACTTCTCCATCAGCTACAAAAAGAAGATGAAAATGTCAGAAAAGCAAGTCACAATTGTGGATTTAGAGCTTTAAGACAAAATGTAGCAGGATTAAATTAATATACCTTTGTAATAACTGAGAGGGGTAAATTGATCCTAGCTGGATTGATTTTAATTGCTTTAAAAAAGAATGTATGATGTGAGCAAGCTGGGAAGGCATGTGAGCACAGCTCATGCTGTACCCTATGGCCTTTCTTCTTTACCCTGTCAGAGACAGTCCTGATATACAAGGCTCCCTATAACAGTGGTGCTAGAGAATATTAAATGTAGCAATAATCTTAATCAATCTATATCAGCTACCATTGCTGGACTGTCCAAGAAGATATTTATTAAATAAAAAAACCCATGAGGAACACAGCAGCAACTTTTATACTTGCTGCTGCCAAATTCATTCTGCAAAGCTGCAGGTGTTTGGCATAGACTCCTGGGGGCTGTGTCATCAAAGAGTGATCAATTTTGTAACAGAGCAAGTGGGTCTTCTGCCTGTATGTAGGACAGCTGGAAAATTCTTGTAAAACAAGGAGATGTATGGTGCTCTTATTGCCCAGCATTAGCTGCCAGAGCACCCCCAGCAGTATGGTTCATTCTCTTTGCTTTCTCTACATTACCTTCAGCAAAAAGCAAGGAGGGACTTCAAGGCTTAATCATACAAGATGGACAGTCTTCAATTAATTCAAAAGCCCAATAGAAAAAAAAAATTAATTAAACAATATTTTGAATTAATATTCACAGTCCATCATGGACAAACTACTACAAGCATAATAATACTTTCCATAGGAGAGTTTTATGAAAACTGCTTTGGAAATGATCAAGATATTCATGACCCTTTTAGCAAGATATTTCAAATTATACTTAAAAGAGACATCTCTGAGATCAAATTTTCTGTAAGAAGGAACAATGCTGCAGAGGTGAGAATTTGCAGTATGCTTGTGAAGATCCTTGGACTGGTGTCCATAGTCACTGTATTTGAGGTACCTGGATGTATAACCTGACAGCAGTGTATGTTCTCATACAAAAGCCAAATTTCAGGAATACCGTTTTGTCTACATCTCTGCATAGATGCAGAGAGTTTTTTTAAAAAAAATCATAACTGTTAAACTAGCTGCAGGTAATATTATACTGAAAAGTTCAAGGCTTCTGCTATATCAAAATTAATTCACAATAATTTACTTCCTATTAGAGATTACAGCTGTGGCTTTAAAAATGGTGAATCACCTAAGCTATATTCTAAGATAAGATAGCTGAGCTTTGTTTTGTGTTTTGGCTTTTTTTCGCTTCTAAGTATGGGTCTCATTATACGCCAAAGTAACACACAAAGTGGAGTCCTCTAAAGCATATGGTAGACAGCTTATCCTGTCTACAAAATTGACTTGACTGCTACCGCTGGGAATACATGAATGTTAGTGACTAAAGGATTAGTCAACACAACAATCACACAAATTACACAGAAAAGCTCATAGGAATTTAAGACCAGAAAATGAAAAAATATGCAATCCCATGTTTACACCAAATATACATTTTAAACTACAATAAGATCCAAGAGTTATTAAAAAATAATCAAGAGATGACTATGCATCACAGGTAAAATGTAGTCAAAACTATCCTTTGGCTATTACTAGAATCATTCTTTCTAAGACTGCTTTGAAGTGTCATCTAAAGTGAGCAAAATTCCTTTTTTTAAAAGAGACAATGAATGCTGCATGGGGAAGAATTTAGAAGGTCAAGGAATAGTGATAGAGAAGAAAGTAACCATTCCAGTTAGATGGGTCTTCCTGTAATCCATAGCCCCTGAGGAGACTCCATCATGTCAGGTATAAACATAAAGCTCTTTGTAGGGAACAACATTAAAAAGAACTGACTTTGCATGATTTGCAGTTCCTCACATTGAATTCTCCTCTCTCTGGTGTGTGCTCAAGCATTCAGCATGACTACACAATCTCCTGTTTCATACAAGGAGATAAAGCCTGGCAAGCATCCTGATACAGAAATTTTTCAAGAGAAGGTTTAAAAGCTAAATAGGTAAAAAGAGAGGGGTGGGAATCATTTCATAGTACCCACTTTGCTGCTGCTTTAAATGTGGAGAGCTTCCAAGATAAACCTTGCAGATCATCACAGTGCACAACACAATCTGGCCTGATATATATATACCCCTATATATACCCCTTTGGTGCAAAACATATCAAATTAGAACTGATTTGGAGCCATCAGCAACCTAAAGGCAGAAGGAAGGGCCAACTTTCTTATTCCTAAATATTTCCCAGTTGCACCTAAAAATGTCTCCTATTCCTGCTACCTACTCAACCCTTACATTTCAAAGAGCACTGCAGATTATGGTTCAGCAAATACAAGAATATAGAGTTCAACCTTCTTTCAAGAGATAACCCCATGACTTTCTTCTTTAATACAAATTATAAGATTTTTAGTAATGTTTCAACTTCATCAATAATACCTAAGCAAAAACAAAACAGTAATTTGAATGAAATTAGAAGTAGTACATATTATGCATATATTGCATATTAGCTATATTGTAGAGGAGCCCGAATATCTCCAATATAACTTCATTTGCGTGTATAGCCAGTCGTGCATCACTGTGCACCGTAAAATAAATTTCCCTCTTAAACTACTATAAATGAAAGATAGAATTGAGCATAGAATTGATCAATCTTCAGATAGAGATACACACATTTATGCCAGAGAATTACAGTTCTAATGGTTTCCTTCCTGTAGTGAATGTGAGATATATACACAAGTACCTTCTCTCCCTCCTTGTCATATTCACCATGATGCTCTAAAGTTTCAATGACCTTCAGCAGCAAAGAGTGAGAAGCAATTTAGGAAGTTGTTAACACTGAGGCTGAATCAAAAGCTACAGTCATGCAAATACATACATTGTAACCACACTTGAACCATGAAAATATTTAATGTCTATTCATGGCTGTAATAATGTATTTAAATTTTTCCTTCCTTCCTCCCCACACCAGCAGTAAAAATTACAACAGACTTCACATCTGTCAGCAAGCTATTTCCCTATTTTCCAATATTTCTTAAAACTATTTACTTTTTTTCTCATAAGTTCTAATAAATTTAGCAAAATATTTTCCCCAGAATTAATTTGGGCTAGCCCATCTAGCTTTAGAGCAGGTATTGGAATGAGTCCTTCAGTCTTCAGCATCTAAACAAAATCCCCTGATAGTTTGTGGAGCTCTTAAAGACAATATTCATTCCAGAAGAGGCTATAAGACAATTCAACTTTTTGCACACATGCCAGTATCTGTGGGAGTAAGGGTCAAAACAGGCATGGTCTCCTCCATCCACCGGGGAACTAAGAGGTGCATCCATTCCACTAAAAAGTAGCAGCTGTGTAACTACTAATGCCTATGGCTTTCCACTCCCTTTAAAAATTACCTCTAATATTCAAGTGAAAAATTAAGTGGTGCTAAGGACTTTCAGTCTGAGTGTCTTCCAGAAAAACTTGGAGTTAGTGGACTCAATCTTTTTAAAGACTAGAAACATTATAGTGTGTCTCTCTTGACTTGAAAGGTGGTATCCATCGGTGTATTTGTTTTCATCATTTCTGACACAATAAATAAAATTAATAACATCTTACAATTTATTTAAACAAATCCTTGTAAAGCAAATCTGAATCAATAGTGAAAACATGTATCATACTTAGTATAAATGATAATAAACATGGATTAAATTCTAGAGGCATCTGAAAAATAACTTCACGTGTCCAAAGCAGTAATTCAAAGTGCCAGGTTATGAGTAAGTGGATACATTGTAGTTTGAACATCATAAACATAAATCTTTCATCAATTCCACACAAAACAGTATTTATTTGGCTTTCAAGTAAACTCAGAACTGTTAGATTTCTTACATTTAGAAAGTGCATATCTGTGGTCAAGTTTCTGGGGAGCAATATTTTTTATCCCAGAATCTCATAAAACTATACATACTAATTCTGCTCGCGGTCCAAAACAGACATACAAAGAATAAATGAACTTACAGATTCCCATTTCCAGCACCTATAGAATATAATGTGTAAGGAAATCATTGAGATTCTAGAATCAGAGCATAATCTTCCTGAAGAGTTAATGAAAAGAAAAATACTGACATTCCAGAAAGTTACCTTAGAAGACCTGATAAAGTTTCTTTTGAGATACAAAACAGAAGTTTTAGTGCGAATGAGGGATGCCGTTTGATGCTGTGCTTGTAATTTTTTAACAAGCTGAGTGTTGTATTTGGGAACAAATTGAGTTCTAGGAAGTAGATATAATAAATAAAAATTAAAAGTACTATGCGTAATCAGTATCTTTCTAAATAACTTAAAAGCTTTACTCAATTTACAAAACTTACAATTTTGAACAAAAAGAAACTTCCAGAGAAGATTTGTGAAGTAAAACTTCACATTACATGTGACGCTTAACACTGATAGTAAATGACCCATTTTTCTTTTGGTTTCCAATTAATTTAATTACTGTTTTGGAATATTAAGTGCACTCAACGTTATGTCAAGCACTTAACCTCCTGCTGCTGATAAATCTGTCTAGCAAAGGATATGGTCCTTGAAGGCAATGCTTCAGTAGACAACTTCAGCAGCATCACGACCTGTAAGTC